AGTCAGTCCGACAATTGATTCTATGTTGTATTCTAAATATTTGTCCCGTGTGTGGATGATTGAAACTTTTGCAAGGGATGAGGTGTCCACAAGTTACACAACCAAGGCATCTTACACATCCATTGTTGGTATTACTCTTAATCTCTGGAAGGTAGCTACGGATTGGATCAGTCTGAACAAGAAGATCACGTAAGCTTTTATTATTCTTATATGAAAACAGTGGCTTATTGCGGAAACTCTCTGGGAGACTCACATCATTCTCCATAAGACGCCAATTCGTGTTAATTTCATGGCAGATTTGAGTGGTAGAGGCATTGTATGTCATCGGACATATGTCATCGGACATACAATGCCTCTACCACTCAAATCTGCCATGAAATTAACACGAATTGGCGTCTTATGGAGAATGATGTGAGTCTCCCAGAGAGTTTCCGCAATAAGCCACTGTTTTCATATAAGAATAATAAAAGCTTACGTGATCTTCTTGTTCAGACTGATCCAATCCGTAGCTACCTTCCAGAGATTAAGAGTAATACCAACAATGGATGTGTAAGATGCCTTGGTTGTGTAACTTGTGGACACCTCATCCCTTGCAAAAGTTTCAATCATCCACACACGGGACAAATATTTAGAATACAACATAGAATCAATTGTCGGACTGACTTTGTTATTTATAAGTTGTCCTGTCCTTGTGGGCTTAATTACGTTGGAAAAACAGAGACCGCCCTCTGTGAGAGGATAAGAGGACATAGGTCTAGTATTAGATTAGCCTACAGGGATAATAAGTCTGACAAACCGGTCGCACGACATTTTTTGGAAAAAGGTCATCCCCTCACATCATTGAAATGTGTGGCGATAGACCATGTCCCAGTTTCTAGAAGAGGTGGCAATAGACAAGAAAGACTTTTGCAAAGAGAAACATGGTGGATCAAGAAACTGGGAACTCTAGCTCCAAATGGACTAAATGAAAAACTGTCCTTTGTTGCCTTTTTATAATTTAAAAAAAAGGGGGAGTGTGATAGTGGGATGACAACTAGAATACATTGTGGTCCTGCTTAGATGAATGCCAGCCCCTTTTTGAATTTTTCAATTCTTCTACTTTTTAAATCATTGTTTATTACATTTTATGTTGAGAATTTGTCATGCTTTAGACTTTTCCAAATTGGGACTTCCAATCCAGGTTGTGCTGAATCGTCCACGTATGATATGCCCTTTTCCTGTTTGGGGTTTTTATTGGTACAATAAGGGACTTACCTGTGTCCTTTTGTTAGATGTTCTGTCCAATAGGGATTTAGGACATAGATGACTATATGAATTTATGGATTGGCATGGAGTTAATCTTGGATTCTAGGCACTGTTTCACTTTAATTACTGATATTGCCTATTATTGTTTTTTACGCAAATATATGCACGTGCACTTTAACGTTTGGATAGATGTATAATCGATTATGAGTTTGACACATGATTAAGGATACATCCCTATGGATGTCCAAATATGAATATTACCACAATCATATACACATATTGCTAATGACATTATTGTCTATTTTTATAACACCTTGCTTAAGGTTTTTTTCACAGTATGTTAATTACTAGCTCAGTATGTCATTGGTGGGTTAGTTATAATTTTTATAGAACATGGGATTGTTGTTTGGATCTTAAATATTGGTGTTGTCACTATTGTATTCACATAGAGGTGGATAGTACCATTAACCGTTGGTTTTTATGATAGGATTTAGGGGTTTGTTTTGTATATGTGGCCTTTTCTTCCCCTCTCTCTAGATTCTAGTATATACACAGGTTACAGCTTTAATTCCTTCCTTGGTGGAGGATAGATGTAGAGACCGGAATATCCAAGCTGGATACGCATGCGTCCGGTATCACTATGACTACAGACGACGCAGCCATTCAGGAAGTAACTGAGGAGATCGTTGTTAGACGCAATGGCGTCCCGATCTCCATGGCAACGTAACGAACGTGGTGATGTCACGTATATCACGTGACGGCATGAGCAGGAAGTGGGGAAATGCCGGGAATTGATAGCGTTTGAGCGGACGCTCGAGAGGAGGGGAGGTTCTCCATCAGCACACCTGGATTGTGAGTTTCAATTGGATTTATGTCCCTATTTAAGCTGTGTTGTTTTTCATTTATGCTTTGTATGCTGTCCTGATGAAAGCTCCCAAGAGGAGCTGAAACGTTGACCTGTGGAGTAAAGTATTTTTTTGGCTTATTTACAAATCCTGGGAGTGCTGATTTTTATTTTGCTTGGTGTGTATGTATGTATATATATATATATATATTTTATAGGTCCACCCATTGTACAGCGCTGCAGAATTTGTTTGCACTATATAAATACTAATAATAATATATTTTGGTACATTCAAAAAAGCTATTAAAAAGCATAAAGAAATAAAATAGTTTTGCATGTTGTGTCCTTCACATCATATTTTCTTAAGGAGAGTTGTTCTACCCATGTAATATTTGGCAGGTCTTTGACATATTTCCACATATAAATGTTAATTGCTCAAATTCACATTTCAGTACACCTTACAACCACATACCTTGAAAGAAGTCATGAATAAACTGACCATTAACCTGACCTGGTGACCTCGTTTGTATGTTGTGTTTTTTATGTCTTGCTAACATTTTGGTGTATACATTTTATTAAAATCAATTAATTTAATTTACTTATTAAATTAAATAAAACCAGCATAATTACCAGTTATGTTGTAGAAATTCTTATCAGGTGTGTAAATATGTCCCAGGGATTTTGAATGCAAGTATGATGAGAATTGTGATAAAAAATTGAAAAGTTTTCAGAATTCTGAAGTTGTTAGTTGGAAAAGATACTAAGAATTAGGTGTGTCCAGCTTTGGCTCCAGATGTCAGACCTTATGCTAGGTATGAGTTTGAGAGTGTGAGTATGAATCCCAGAGTGACTCTCTTCCCTTTGTCCTTACTCCTCAAAGGAGAAAATTCTCTGCATGTCACTAGTTGATAGGACCAACAGGGAACTGTGGGCGCGTCCTCCCCACAGACCAACATCTAGATCCTGGCCAGCAGATGGCACAACCACACCACCGAAAACTCCTGCCAGGGGGCCCATCCACCCCCTTGCACAATGGGTCAACTGAATTTCGTGATTCGTCCCATGTCATTTTCATTATCTCTTATGGCCACTATACATCACAGAAGCTGTCATCTTCAAAGGCTTTGGTTGGTTTTCAACCAGCCAGAGCCAGGGCCGGCCTTAGGGGTGTGCGAGCTTTGCGGCCGCACAGGGCGCCATGGAGCAGGGGGCGCCCTGCCGCCAACACAGCTCACACATTGCCGGCTGCCTGGGTGGTGGATTTCATTGTTCTTCACCCGGGATAAAAAAACAAACCAAAACATTGTGGTGGGGGCGGGGCTTAGCATGCGACGGGGCTAAATAACTGTGGGGGCAGGGCTAGAAGTGCCGGGTAATTGCTGCATGGGAAGCTGCTTCCCCAACAACCAGAATCCAGGACCTGCACTGCTTCCACCTCCATAATGAAAAGAGGTAACTATGTGTGATTATCTGCCTGTGTGTGTGACTGCCTGCCTGTGTGTGTGTGTGTGTGTGAGAGACTGTCTGCCTGCATGTGTTTGTGTGTGTGTGACTGTCTGCCTGTGTCTGTGTGTGACTGTCTGCCTGTGTGACTGTCTGCCTGTGTGACTGTCTGCCTGTGTGACTGTCTGCCTGTGTGACTGTCTGCCTGTGTGACTGTCTGCCTGCCTGTAACGGTGTGTGTGACACTGTATATGCGGCTGTATGTACGTGACTATCCATCTGTACCTGTGTGTGTTTGTAATTGTCTGCCTGTAACTGTGTTTTACCCAGTGTGTGTGTGACTATCTGCCTGTAACTCTGTGTGTGTAAATCCCCTATACAATCACTCCACTTCTATACAAACATTATACATGGATGACAGGGGAGGGGAGGCGCTGCGAAGATGTTTCGCACAAGGCAACTAAAGGCCTAAGGCCGGCCCTGGCCAGAGTGTCTGGTTTTTCGGTCGTCAATATCATATTTAGTTCTTTCCCCCCAGCCGGTCACCAAACTTTGTTACATATCTGTATAGTTAATTAACTTTGCACTGCATTATGGTTGCTTAAAACGGCACTACCAATGGTAAAGTTATACTTATTATTGTACAATTTCTTTACCTTATTTTTTTTTTCATTTTTAAATAGTATTGGATGATTAATAGTACTTGTATGTTTACCCCTTTTCCTTGTTTGTTTGATGTTATTATTATCATTATTATCGTTTGGTTTATTATCATATTTAAAACTTTCAATAAAACATTTGAAAAAGGAAAAATAAAAAAATTTAAAATAAAAATCCTAACTTTGAAATTAATGTAAATTGTACCGCTCACTTTGTATATGACAATCATTTTTCTTGCCCTACACTACAGCTAAGAAGGAGCCGGCTTTAACGGGCAAGATTTTGTTTTACACTCACTTGGACAAAATATTTACTGGCCACCCAGGGTTCACCCCCTGAAGACCCAGTAAATGGCAATTGTTCAGAGGTGACTTCCTGGCCTTCTTCCAGAGGCGATGACAGCGGTTCACATGGTGCCCAAGGATGTCTCTTGAGCAATACATAATGTTCCAAAACGCAAACCGCCTTTGCTTGGGGTATTTCTTTTTCATTTTCTTTTTTACTAAGGTGTTTACGATACTTATTTTGGCATTTTTTTAGATACTTTACGATTGGAATATAAATTAGGTTTTATGACTTTTGTTTTGTTAGAGCACTTCATTCACTTTTGAGAAACCATACGTGTTGTTTTTGTTCGCCGGCGCTGATAGCTTGTTTACTAAAGCTGTGAAATAGCTGGTTTGGAGAATCTTACCTTCTATTCTGGAGTGATTTTTGCATTATTTAAGTCTGCACTATTTGGAGTTTAGTAAATAACCTTGCCTGTCACTAATATACTAGTGGCACTGCCCTGTGGGAACACTCATACATGGAAGGCACTCAGACACAACACAAGGTTGACAATAAATCGCACCCAGAGCCTACAGCAGCACCATTGCCAACCATTACTCGGGTGGACTGGCATGTGTGGAGAAACAAAGATGGCCGCCGCGGACTCCTTCACCCTCCCTTATCTCCCATAGTCACAAGGAGCGAGCAGCCCTTACCCCCTCACAGACAGGGATACGCGGACAGTCTACGAGTACTCGGGGCTCACAGACTTCGGGGTTCGCGAGGTTCACCGTGACGTCACCGCCCGCCCGCCATGTCCCGCTACTCGCGGCCGCCCAACACTTCCCTCTTTGTCAGGAATGTGGCCGATGCCACCAGGTAGGTGTACGGCCTGGCCGCTAGCTGTCACACAGGAGGGTCGGCAGGACGAGGGCGCCTCGAGCTCGCGAATGGCTGTGGAGCCCAGGAGGCAGACAACCTAATATGGCCGCCTGGCCAGCCTTGACCATGACCTGCCCCATCCATGGCTCGGTGATGGGGGCAGCCTGCTAGCTCCAAGGTGAGCCTGGCCTGGAGCCCCCAACTTATCAATGGCGGCAACAGCAACTCTCTTCAACAATGTCAGCTCTTCAACATCACCTGTGCTTTCTCCACTGAGTGACCCTAACCAAATACATAGCCAGCACCCAGATCTGAGTGACCCTAACCAAATACATAGCCAGCACCCAGATCTCAGTGACCCTAACCAAATACATAGCGAGCACCCAGATCTCAGTGACCCTAACCAAATACAAACCCAGCACCCAGATCTGAGTGACCCTAACCAAATACATAGCCAGCACCCAGATCTCAGTGACCCTAACCAAATACATAGCGAGCACCCAGATCTGAGTGACCCTAACCAAATACATAGCCAGCACCCAGATCTCAGTGACCCTAACCAAATACATAGCGAGCACCCAGATCTCAGTGACCCTAACCAAATACAAACCCAGCACCCAGATCTGAGTGACCCTAACCAAATACATAGCCAGCACCCAGATCTCAGTGACCCTAACCAAATACATAGCGAGCACCCAGATCTGAGTGACCCTAACCAAATACATAGCGAGCACCCAGATCTGAGTGACCCTAACCAAATACATAGCCAGCACCCAGATCTGAGTGACCCTAACCAAATACATAGCGAGCACCCAGATCTCAGTGACCCTAACCAAATACATAGCCAGCACCCAGATCTGAGTGACCCTAACCAAATACATAGCCAGCACCCAGATCTGAGTGACCCTAACCAAAAACATAGCCAGCACCCAGATCTGAGTGACCCTAACCAAATACATAGCCAGCACCCATATCTGAGTGACCCTAACCAAATACATAGCCAGCACCCAGATCTGAGTGACCCTAACTAAATACAAACCCAGATCTCAGTGACCCTAACCAAATACATAGCCAGCACCCAGATCTGAGTGACCCTAACCAAATACATAACCAGCACCCAGATCTGAGTGACCCTAACCAAATACATAGCCAGCACCCAGATCTGAGTGACCCTAACTAAATACAAACCCAGATCTCAGTGACCCTAACCAAATACATAGCCAGCACCCAGATCTCAGTGACCCTAACCAAATACATAGCCAGCACCCAGATCTCAGTGACCCTAACCAAATACATAGCCAGCACCCAGATCTCAGTGACCCTAACCAAATACATAGCCAGCACCCAGATCTGTGAGCCAGTGACCCTAACCAAATACATAGTCTCAGTGACCCTAACCAAATACATAGCCAGCACCCAGATCTCAGTGACCCTAACCAAATACATAGCCAGCACCCAGATCTCAGTGACCCTAACCAAATACATAGCCAGCACCCAGATCTGTGACCCTAACCAAATACATAGCCAGCACCCAGATCTCAGTGACCCTAACCAAATACATAGCGAGCACCCAGATCTCAGTGACCCTAACCAAATACAAAGCCAGCACCCAGATCTGAGTGACCCTAACCAAATACATAGCCAGCACCCAGATCTCAGTGACCCTAACCAAATACATAGCCAGCACCCAGATCTCAGTGACCCTAACCAAATACATAGCCAGCACCCAGATCTCAGTGACCCTAACCAAATACATAGCCAGCACCCAGATCTCAGTGACCCTAACCAAATACATAGCCAGCACCCAGATCTCAGTGACCCTAACCAAATACATAGCCAGCACCCAGATCTCAGTGACCCTAACCAAATACATAGCCAGCACCCAGATCTGAGTGACCCTAACCAAATACATAGCCAGCACCCAGATCTCAGTGACCATAACCAAATACAAACCCAGCACCCAGATCTCAGTGACCCTAACCAAATACATAGCCAGCACCCAGATCTGAGTGACCCTAACCAAATACATAGCCAGCACCCAGATCTGAGTGACCCTAACCAAATACATAGCCAGCACCCAGATCTGAGTGACCCTAACCAAATACATAGCCAGCACCCAGATCTGAGTGACCCTAACCAAATACATAGCCAGCACCCATATCTAGGCAACCCTAACCTAATAAATATCCAGCACCCATATCTGGGTGACCCAAATAAATACTAAGCACACATATATGGGTGACGCTAACCACAATAAACACCAAGCAGGTCTGGTAACCCGGAACAAAATAATAACAACCAAGATCAGGTGAAAAAATACATAAAGGAAAATTCCAAGCACCATAGATACTACAGTATACTGTAGAGTTTATGTTGTCAGTACAGCCATGCTGTGCCAAATGTAAGCAGTCAAGCCGTTGACTTACGATTTACGACTGCAACTTATCTGGGGTCCATCTGGTGTTAGTCACATCATCTATTAAGAATACAAATCTGAGCTCCAGCATGGAGTTTCTATTGGCACTTCTGAGCCAAGTCCTGCCGTGCAATACAAGCTCATTTTGACTGTATGTCTTTTTTGCAAATCTATTCTAAGACGGAAATGTTTTGTTTCATCTTGGAAGACACAGAATAGCTACACAGCTGTCTGTGGATGGTAAGATTTTTATATACTTGCCTTCTGGTCATAAAGTTTTATATATAAAATAGGAGGCTGCTGTTAGTGGAACCTACCAAAATTTTAAAGGGTTACTCCAAGCATGATGACCACTTAAGTGGTTTAAAGTGGTCATGTTGCCTGGAGTCAGTATGTGCAGCGTTTCACTCTTTATATGGCTACTGGAGGTGCTTCCTGGGGTAGTACTGCACCCTCATCCCTAATTATCTATTCCAGCACTACAGTGTTAGGAATACAGGCTTGTATTCCTGACACTATAGTGTACTTTTAAGAAAAATAATCCATGCATTTAGGTGACAAAATATGGACATTGATCAGTGTTTATCAATCTCTGAAGTGTACAATACAGGCTTCATGTTTGCTCAAATGTTCAATATATTTCAGCCAGTCTGAATTCAACTAAGCTGTAAATAAAACATTTTATAGTAAAGGAACACTATAGGATCAATGACCCTATAGTGTTAAAAACCCTGTCAGGCTTTCTGACATTCAGTGTCTCCACTCTTTGCATGGAGACACTGAATTTTCCTCATAGAGATGCATTGAATTCATGCATCTCCAAGAGGAGTTGCTGATTGGCCTGGGCGGTATTTGGCTCGTGCTGGTTCTGCCCTTAAAGGACCACTATAGTGCCAGGAAAACATACTCGTTTTCCTGGCACTATAGTGCCCTGAGGAGAGGAAGGGGTTAAACACTCACCTTTCTCCAGCGCCAGGCGGGGAGCTCTCCGCCTCCTCTCCTCCTCTTCGGCTGAATGTGCATGCGCGGCAGGAGCTGCGCTCGCATTCAGCCAGTCTCATAGGAAAGCATTCATAATGCTTTCCTATGGACGCTGGCGTCTTCTCACTGTGATTTTCACAGTGAGAAGTACGCAAACGCCTCTAGCGGTTGTCAATGAGACAGTCACTAGAGGCGTTAGAGGCTGGATTAACCTATTTATAAACATAGCAGTTTCTCTGAAACTGCTATGTTTATTAAAAAAAATGGGTTAACCCTAGCTGGACCAGGCACCCAGACCACTTCATTAAGCTGAAGTGGTCTTGGTGCCTAGAGTGGTCCTTTAATCGGCTTCCTTGAGAAGCTCAGCCAGTCTAATGCTTTCCTATGCTTCTGATGGTGTTAACCAAGGAGGCAGATCAGGGGCAGAGGCGGCGGCAGCAGCAGACTGGAATAAAGGTAATATTCTACTATATTTAGTGGGGGGAACACTATAGGGTCTGGAATACATGTTTGTGTTTTTGACCCTATAGTGATCCTTTAAGTAAATAAACTTGTGAGGGATTTGTTCACAAAACACTGAATTGCAAAATGTTGACTAAAATAGCAAAGCTGTCACTGTAGCAGTGTTGGAGAATGTTTCCAAATCTCCATTTGTCAAATTATTTCAATTCACTCCAAATCTGTGTGTTGTACATTAACCCTATGTTTTTCTTTCATTTTGAAATTTTATTTTTATCTTCTAACATTCTAACCAAATTATAGAACTATCATTCTTGCTTAAACATGATATGCACATCCTTTTGTGCTCCAGTGCACATCATAACACAAAATAAAGTTATGGTGACAGGAGGTCCCTGGCACTGGCTTACCTTTAGAGTATAATTCGTTTACGAATGCTTTAGCCCAAAAGTCTGTACTTCTGTGCCGTTCTGCTCTGGCCCCCTGACGTTCAACATTCTGAAATTTTTCTGCTATCACAAATGTGTAACCAAGTTGTATGTTACTATTGTGCCCTTATATCCAATGTAATTTTTTTTTGATTACCATGCTGCCGAGCAGGAACATGTGTGTGTATATATGGCTCTGTGAAAGGAATGCCTTCGCACGTTGTAAGCAGATACCTAAAAGAGCAAGCATGGTGTATTCTGAAAAAGATGCCCTCATCAGTTCTCAGAACTGCTTGCACTCCTCACTTCAGTATGAACTTCATTAGTCCTTAGTGGGGGTGAGAGAATGAGAAAGATTCAGTAATAGAAAGAGTGCAGTTCCTCCTTAAAACTTATTCAGCTCGAAGAAAAATGTGCTTTCAATATGCTGCACCTAACAATTTTTTCCTTTATAACCTCTGCACTTTTTTTTAATGATTTTTGTAGTGAAACTGTAAGTTACCCTGATGTGACAGTATTGGTAGACTTGGGTAAGTATTGGTATATGGAAAGCCAGAAGGGAAAGCTTTATTTTTACTTTTACGCAATATTTGTTATTGTTTCAGTGGCTTCCTAGCTAGACGATTTAACAGTAAGTCTGCAGACAAAATAGTGCAATTGTTGCTCCGCCATAAATAAAGTCCAAACTGCCAACCTTGTCTCTCTGCCTTACACACTTCAGGCCGGAGGATTTGCGCCGTGAGTTTGGTCGATACGGCCCAATAGTTGACGTTTACATTCCACTTGACTTCTACAATCGTCGGCCAAGAGGATTTGCTTATATCCAATATCCTTTATTTGCTTGTGTTGATAATCAGCATGGAAGTGTCTGCACCCTAACTGAATGTGTGTTTATTTCTCTGTCTCAGAAAATGTAAAGCAGTCCACAGTAGCTGGCAAGCACCCCAAAGTTTGAATGAGCCTGTTAGATAGGACCAAGCGTAAAGCCCACAGATCCCTTTTGAAGTGGCAGCTTCAAGGAATAAAGAGGGAGGGTGGAAACAGATAAGAAAGCTGGAAGAGGGGAAGTTCTTGCCACGCACTAAAGACAAAGCCTCCACCATGCTGAGGGTTCAAATTTCCTACATTTTAATCAAAAGCCAAGCTCGATTTTTGGTTGATCACTGATCAAGTTCACCATTCAAGCCCAAAAGAGTAAAGGTCAAGGTTCAAGATCAAGTCAAATGAGGTAACTGCAGAAGTTTCTGTTTGTATCCTACTATTCAAGTTTATTTACTGTTAAACATGTGTTCATGGAAAATGTAACTTTTTTTTTTCTGTATTTTTTTTTTTTTAAAGGGCGTATTTAAAGGAGTTTATATCTTTTGGCTTTGCATGTTTTAATTATGACATGTTACCTCTAACTTTCTGCCTGGTTAACAAGGACATTTTATAATTTTCATCTGTTTTGATCCCCTCCCCTGTCCCCTTCACAAGGAGTATTGGGCATGTATTTACAGGATCCATTTCTTTATTTCTCATTATTCCAGTACATCTTAAAAAAGGTACAGAAAATGTAATCTCATGTATCTCCAATATAAATGTAATTATAGTACATGTAGATGTAGAAATAAGACAGTTACTTCATGTATTGCTCTAGCACTTCTTAAAGGACCACTATAGGCACCCAGACCACTTCAGCTCAATTAAGTGGTCTGGGTGCCAGACCCATCTAGTTTTAACCCTGCTGCTGAAAACATAGCAGTTTCTTTGAAAGAAACTGCTATGTTTCACTGAGGGTTAATCCAGCCTCTAGAGGCGCTTCCGCGCTTCTCACTGTGAAAATCACAGTGAGAAGACGCTGGACGTCCATAGGAAAGCATTGAGAAATGCTTTCCTATGAACTGTCTGAATGCGCGCGTGACTCTTGCCGCACATGCGCATTGAAAGCTGACGTCGGGAAAGGGAGCAGAGTTCCCCAGCACCGAGGGAGCCTGGTGCTGGAGAAAGGCAAGTGTTTAACCCCCTCAGCCTGTGGGGGGCGCGGGGGGGGGGATGGCAGAGAAGCGGATAGACATACTTACCCGAAGCTCTCCCTTGGAAGCTCTGCCATCTTTGGGGTCTGTCTTTAGCTCATGGCACTTTATCATCCAATTGCCCTTGCCACTGTTGTACTATTCAAATGAGCAAGAGTGCAAAATAGGTCTACGAAAATGTTTGCCATGATTGTACATTATGTATGTGCATTAACTTTTTATTCTTTTTTTATTTTATTTTATTTTATTATAAATATACTCTCATCAACATAAATGGGGCTTATTTGCATGTGCATAGCTTCCCAATTGCTTGATAATAATTCAGAGCCATGGGTGACAAATGGCTTCTGTTCACTGGTTCACAACCACAGTTCATAGTTTTAAATGACCCTGCATGTAACTTGGCATTATGTATTTCAGATGCTTTGAGTGTCCGTTTAAGAATTTTATTTAATGGGAACTGTCACCTCCAAGGATTTTCAATATTATGTTTACTTCTTCCTTATATTTAGCGTTTACTGTTTTTGTGACGTCTGAAAAATAAAATGAAATGTAGATATCCACTAATTTTTCATTGGATTGATTGCCTCCATCTTGGCTAGCTGGTCAGTCATCATTTAAAATGTTGAAGAAAGCAAAAAAGGATTTAGATACAACACTAACACAAAAGGTGGCAACAAACCTGCTAGAAGGATACCCTAACAATCCAACAGCGTATAGCAGGTAAACAAGGAGAGAGGCAGATTGCACCAAAACTACTATATACTTATAGATTATTAAATTTTTGATACTTAATAAATGAATAATTTTAAATTCACAAAAAATAGTTCTTATTGAAAGGTGAATTGTTGAACAACAGGCCGTCTACTGGCTCAAGATGTATTTGCTTAAAGCAATATAGTCTCTTGTTGTAGGGTATTGTAGATAGGCTCAAACAGGATCTATATTGGAACCTCAATATGTTTTGTGGGATTTTCAAACCATGTGCATCATATATGAATACAAAAGAAAATAGGACCCAATAGTGTAATTCGGTTGAAATAATCTTGGTGTATGTATAAAAGCGGGATAAAATACACTCACAAACAAGGAGCTTCCAATTCAGCTCTTAGTAATGGCTTAGAGTGGTATGATCCCCGCTCACCGATATAGCTTGAAAGGGGTATTCCTCTGTATTTTTCAACGTATATATAAAAATAAGACCAATAGTGCTCTCTGTTTGTTTGAAATGTGAAATACACTCAATAAGTAAAAATAAAATGTACTGTCATTTAGGGGAGCATATACATGCTCATTGGTAACAGCTTGGGTGGTACAATCCCCACCTGGGATGTGTGAGTAAATATGATGCAGTAGTGGCAGTAGGTATTCATAATTGAGGTAGGATGATAGAGGTTAAAACCAATATACCATAGATTAAAATAAAATACAAAGCAGGACCAAAAAAAAATAAATTGATTGAATAGTAAAATTTCATTTAATTAAAAATTTAGATATTACCAAACAAACAAAATATAAAACACTTGGCAGTCTTTAACCCCTTCAGGACGGAATCAATAGTGCATATTCTGATCAAAATGTAAACAAAAACTGGAATTTGCGCTATATATCTGTTCAACCGTAATTCACCGCTGTCACATTAAGTGCACCCACACTTATTTTATATCATTTTGTTCAGGAGAAACAGGGCTTTAATTTATCATTAACTATTCATATATGGAACATAATTTATTATGAATAAAATTTAAAACAAATGTGAGATGAGATTTTTTTTTTTTTTTTTTTTATTTGTATTTCCGTCTGACATTTTAGCTGTGACTGTCATAATTCTGTTAGGTTTTACTGCAAAAAAATGCCCATATTTGTAATCAGCGATGTCTCACGAGTAAAACAGTACCCCCCATTAACCCCTTCAGGGCGGGTGACGGACAAGGCCCGTCACAGAAGGGAGACCCTTAATGACGGGTGACGGACCTCGTCCGTCACGCGGTAAAATTAACCCCGGATCGCGACGATCGCGGGGTTAATGGTGCTCCTGGTATGCCTCTGCATTAGAGGCATACCGGGAGCACCCGGTCAGGCTGCCCAGCACATGTGCTCGCTCTGACCGCAAGTCAGAGCGAGCACATGTGCTCTGTATACTCACCTACCGGCTCCCTGCACTTCCGGGTTCTGTGTGAAGTGCAGGGAGCCGGATCAGTGATGATCCTGCCCCGAGCTGGAAAAAAAAATAAAGTTAATTTAAAGTCCCCCCCTTTACCCATTTTAATAAAAAATTAACCCATTCCCTGCCAATTGATCACTGACTACAGTGATCAATTGGCAGGGATTACATTTTACTATGATCTGATTTTTTTTTTTTAACCCTCAGGGGTTAAATTAATTAAATGAATTAATTAAATTATTTTTAAATTATATATTTAGATAGCTGGGGTGGGTGGAAGTTAGTGGGGAATTGTGGGATTTGGCGTTAGGCTAACTAGGGGTTAACGTTAAAATTTTTTTTTAAAAGAACGTTTAAAAAGTTAAAAATTAAGCTTAAAAAATTTTTTAATAACATTTAAGTTAAAAAAACAAAAAAAACACACTTTACCTAGTCCAAATAAAAATTAACCCCTTCCCTGCCAGTCGATCACTGCCTACAGCGATCAAATAGAGATCACAGTATTATACTGTGATCTAATTTTTTTTAACCCCTGAGGATTAACTTTTATTTATTTTTTTAACCCTCAGGGGTTCAATTTATTTAATTAATTAATTTAAATATTTTATAACTATATATTTTGCTAGCTGGGGTGGGTGGGAGTTATGGGAAAATGGGGAATTTACTGTTAGTGCTGCGTACTGCTAGTTAGGGGTTAACGGTAAAAAAAAAAGCTTAGAAAAATTTTAAATCTGTAAAAAAGTTTTAAGAAAGTTTAGGAAAGTTTAAAAAAAATTTATAAGCAAAACAAAAGTTTAAAAACTAGTTTTTAAAAGTAAAAAAGTTATAAAAAGTAAAAAAATACATTTTAAAAACGCTCATTACCACTACACCTGGAACAAACTAGAGAAAAAATTATCCCACGCCAAGGTTCAAAATATGCCTTTTGAATTACCCCAGGGTGTATTCTTTAATAAATAGTATGTGTTTGTGGGGAAGTTTCAATAACCAACCGTCTAAACTACTCCAAATTGGAACATGGACACAGCGTAAAACTTCAAAGTTAGAAAAAAACTGAATGGCTGCGTCTCAAATGCGCCCCTTCAACATCCACATATACCTGGCAAAGGTACATACGGGGGTATTGCTGTACTCAGCCGACATAGCTGAGCAACATATGAAGTATTATACAGTCATAGTACACATAAGGTTTGCAAAATATGCTGCGCAAACTCACTTTGTATGTCAAAAAGGCAGAAAAAATGCTTATTACCACTACACTTGGTACAAGCTAGCGGAAAAATGATCCCACGCTAAGGTTCAAAATATGCCTTTTGAAATACCCTGGGATGTCTTCTTTAAGAAATGGTATGGCTTTATGGGGAATTTGGATTATATAGCCTGGTAAAATACTCTAAAATGGGACATAGGCACAGCATAAAAATTCAAAGTTTGAAAAAACTGGAATGGCTGTGTCCCAAATGTGCCCCTCCGATGTCCACACATACCTGGCAAAGGTACATACGGGGGTATTGCTGTACTCAGCCGACATAGCTGAGCAACATATGAAGTATTATACAGTCGTAGCACACATAAGGTTTGCAAAATATACTGTGCAAACTCACTTTGTATGTCAAAAAGGCAGAAAAAACGCTTATTACCACTACATCTGGTACAAGCTAGCGGAAAAATGATCCCACGCTAAGGTTCAAACTATACCTTTTGAAACACCCTGGGGTGTCTACTTTAAGAAATGGTAGGCCTTTGTGGGGTAGTTTGAATTTAAAACCTGCGAAGATGCTTGGAAATTGCACATAGGCCCAGCGTCAAAATTCAAAGTTTGGTAAAAACGGATATGGCTTGGTCTCCTATATGGCACTGTAGCTTCACAAAATAGTGACAAAGACATTCATTGGGGGTGTATTTTTACTCAAAAGACTTAGCTGAGCATAATTTGGGAGGTTTGAACTTAGTGGCACATATGAAATATACAAAACGCCCAGCAAAAATGCAATCCGTATGTAAAAAATGCACAAAATAATTTTTTTACCACATACTTTGGCATATATTGGTGAAAAAATGGGGGTATGTTAAGGCACAATATGCACCTTATGAGATACCCTGGAGTGTCTACTTTTACAAATGGTAGGCCTTTGTGGGGGTTTTTTGAACAGTCAAACTGTTATAATACCCCAAATGGAAGCTAAGGCTCATTAAATCCATCTCTCAAAATTCTACTGTGAATACTGTAAAGGACAGGTCTCCTATATGGCACTGTAGCTTCACGAAATAGTGCAAAAGACATACAATGGGGGTGTCATTTTACTCAGCAGATGTAACTGAACACAAAATAAAACTTTGTACAGGAATAGCACACACCAACTTTACAAAATATACACGAGAATTTCTCTGTTATAAGTTTGTGTGCCAAAAACCAAAAAGAACACAATTTTACTCCAATATTTAGCAGAGGTTGGCGGTGAAATGGCTACGTAGAAAGTGTCAAAACAACCTTAGGTAAATAGCCCGTGATGTCTACTTTATATAAATATATACTTTTGTGTGGCAATTTTGTTTTCTTTTATGGCTATTAAGCTTACAAGACAAACATACCAAATTCTAAAATCGCTCCACATTAAAAGTTTATTTTACTCCTTGTGCTTTGTGACCTGCAACTACCAAAAAAAACTTAAAATTCCAGACACATTATATATTCTGTAAATCAGAACAAATAAATAAATTTATTTTTAATTACTTTCCTTAACCTGCACTAATTATGCACACATTATTATTGCAAAAACTGTAAAAAAAAACAAACAATATTTTTCATTTTTTTTGCATTTTTCTGTATTTTTTTTTATAATAAGTAAGCATTTATATATATGTATGTTATATCAAATTAAAGCCCTTTCTGTCCTTTAAAAAACAGTATATAATATGTGTCGGTGCAATAAATGAGAGAGATGCAAATTGCAGTTGAACGCAAACAGCAAGAAAATGCAAAAATTGCTTGTGTCATTAAGCGTAAGTCAAGCTTCTGAAGCTGTGTCCTTAAGGGGTTAACAGGTTTTATGGTGTTTTGGAAAGTTAAAGGGTCAAATCTAGAACGTTCCATTTTCACATTGAAATTTGCCAGATTAGTAATGTTACCTTTGAGACGGTGTGGTAGCCCAGGAATGAGAATTACCCCCAAAATGGCATACATGTGAAAAAGTAGACAACCCAAGGTATTGAAAGTGGGGTATGTTTAGTCTTTTTTAGTAGCCACTTAGTCACAAACACTGGCCAAAGTTAGCGTTCATATTTGTATGAAAAAAAGCAAAAAACTAATATTTGGCCAGTGTTTGTGACTAAGTGACTACTAAGAAAGACTGGACATACCCCACTTGCAATACCTTGGGTTGTCTACTTTTGCAAATGGTATGCCATCATGGGGGTAATTCTCATTCTTGGGCTACCATACGCTCTCAAAGGCAACATAAACAATCTGGCAAATTTCTATGTCCAAAAAATGAAACGCAAGCCTTATATGTGACTCTCTGACTTTCCAAAACACCATAAAACCTGTACATGGGGGGTACTGTTATTCTTGGGAGACTTCACTAAACACAAATATTAGTGTTTTAAAACAGTAAAACATATTACAACAATAATATAGTCCATACAAGTTCTGTTCGTTTGTTTAAAAAAATAAAACAAATAAAATCGTCACTTTTACTTAAAATATCATCGTTGTAATACAATTTACCAGTTTGAAACACTAATATTTGAGTTCAGCGAAGTCTCCCGAGTAAAACAGTACCCCCTATGTACAGGTGTCTTGGAGAGTTACAGGATCAAATATATAGTGCTTGCGAATTAAATTCTCTGCACTTTCTCCCTGTGTTGTCAGGCATGTCAATCAAATTTTAATTAATCAAATCACATAACTATGGTAAAAGATTACTTAAATATACACGTAGAATTTTAATATATATGCATTTATAGGTATTTAAATTCTACGTGTATACTAATGTAATCTTTTATGCAAGTGTGTGTGTGTGTGTGTGTGTGTGTGTGTATATAATTTTTTATTTTTTTTTAATTTAACACGTTTTAATTATTTTTATTTTTTTTTACTTTCCCACCAGCAGGGGGACTGTCTGATATTTTAGACAGTCCCCCTGCTGGCAGATCCACAGCCAGCTATAGGGGGCCATGTGATCGCTCTTTGAGAGCGATCACATGGCCACCGGGGGCCTCATTTGCCGGGGGAGGGCTGCCTGGGGAGGGCAGCCCTCCAGAAAAGGATTGCGGCGGAGGTGAGTAAATTGGAGCTCCAGGGGCTGAAAGTCGTTATGGCGTTCTATGCCGCCGCAACGGCTTTAAAGCCCTTTTAATGCGGGACGGCATAAAACGCTGTTACGGCGTTAAGGGGTTAAAATCACAAGTTTCGTCCAAATGGCTTTTTCAAGTGATGATGGTGGAGGTCCTAAGGCAACCTAAGCCGCAACTCCCCAGTGTGCCGGCTGTGAAGCTTTATGGGATCAGCAGTCCATTAGACCAATACTATGTATTTTGTGTCTCCACCGTGACGGGCAATCTGAGTGTGATCAAGGTGTGAGCATCCCGATCCTACTATGCCATCCGTGCCACTGGTGCCACAGATATAAATCAATCGCATGAACTAAGATCATTACTCTTTTTTAAAAACCATCTCATAGCCGGTGGGCGAGCATGACAGTCTGAAAAATGTTACCATCCACCTATTGCGAGCCCTATACGTGACCAAGTGTTCGCGACCCACCCCATTATAATAATGGTAATTACCACATGTGTTTATTTTATAACAGTGATTAGTTATTTATAACTACTCCAATATATTTTGTATGTTTTTAACTTTATTGTATTGATTTGCTATAAATGAATCACACGTGTGTTTTACTAGTCATGTGACCCAGATGATATCACCACACCCTTTTTAAATTGTTAGTAGTTTCAAATGCCCTATAAATAGAGCTCCATGCAGGACCTCCGCCATCATCACTTGAAAAAGCCATTTAGGCGAATTATTTTATGTAAAAAAATTTTTTTTGTTTATTTATATTTATATATATATATATATATATATATATATATATATATATATATATATATATATATATATATATATATATATATATATATATTATAATTATTATTAACTTTTTTTTCTGTTTTATTTTATTCTATGGTATATTGGTTTTAACCTTTATCATCCTACCTCAATTAAGAATACCTACTGCATCATATTTACTCGCATATCCCAGGTGGGGACTGTACCACCCAAGCTGTTACCAACGAGCATATATATATGCTTCCCTAAATGTGAGTAAATTTTTTTTATTTTTTTTATTTATTGAGTGTATTTCACATTTCAAACAGAGAGCACTATTTGTCTTGTTTTTATATAGCTGTTAAAAAATTCGTAGGAATACCCCTTTACAGCTATATCCATGAGCGGGGATCATACCACTCTAATCCTTTACCAAAAGCTGAATTGGAAGCTCCTTGTTTGTGAGTGTATTTTATCTGCTTTTATACATACACCAAGATAATTTTAACCGAATTGCACTATTGGGTCCCGTTTTCTTTTGTATTTTATATATGATGCGCATGGTTGGAAAATCCCACAAGATATATCGAGGTTCCAATATAGGTCCTGTTTGAATCTACAATACGCTGCAACAAGAGACTATATTGCTTTTTGAGCCAGCAGACGGACCCTTGTTCAGTGACTCACCATTCAACAAGAACCATCTTTTGTGAATCTAAAATGATTCATTATTCATTTATTAAGTATCAAAAATTGTATAATCTATAAGTATATAGTTGTTTTGGCGCAACCTGCCTCTCTCCTCATTTATCATCATTAAAATGTTGCTCTTTTCTGCCATTAAACATTGTTCTTGCAAGAGGACAAACAAATATGTGTCTGTTCTCTTTTTTTAAATTCTGTGTCCCTTTTAACCTGGATTTAAATGGATTGTGATGCCTTTGCTAAACTTTTAATATAAATGTAAAAGAAAATAGAGAATTACGTTTGAAAACAGTTACCACATGTTTTAGGTTATTTTAAATGTCATGTTCAGTGTTGTAATTTCCAAAGGAGTGACAATACCGATTTTAGAGTGATATAAGAAGTCTCATTGTTCAATTAGACTACACAGAATAAGCCATACAATCAAGCTCCTTAAGTGATATGATAAAAAAGGATCATAATTGCTTCCATCATGTTAGTTCTGCACAAATATTGAATTTTTCTATGCAAAGTGATATATTCACTTATTTTTATGTTTAATGTATTTGCATGTCTATGTATGATATACTTTGACTGGGTACAACATAAGCGTGTGTTGTCTGCTTATGTTTAATAGCTAATAATTTCTTGGCTTTTTTTTTATTTCTAATTCCTGTTATATTGATAATTTTGTTTAGTAAAAATGTGATACACATTTTTCTAATGATATGTTGCACCCCTTCGTGTACATCCTATATGACTTATTTAATTTTTGATAACATGCGAACACATTTCTTTTTTGTAATAAATAGCTTTATTACCAGTTTACCAAAAACATTTTCTAATATTAATGTTTGTTATAGTTGCAGTAGTATCAAAGGGCTGAACCAGATTGCAGGGTAACTAACTAATTTATATCCCTTGGCAATGTCTATAGGTTACCCACAAAATGATGATGTATGAGTAAAGTGTGTATGCTTATTGATTTTATATTGTAAGGACTGCATACAAAAATATGTAGCTGATATTGCTGCTTTCAATTGGCTCCTCTAATTTTACACAAAGAAGATATTAATATGAACCTACATATGTTTTAAACATCTGGTTCACATACGCCTTGTATAGCATAATTAAAAAAAAACAACTCCTTAACGGAAAGTCAGGTTTGAAGACGTTCGCGATGCTGAAGATGCCCTTTATAATCTTAACAGAAAATGGGTTTGTGGCCGTCAAATTGAGATCCAGTTCGCTCAAGGTGATCGGAAAAGTAAGTACTTTGGAATTACAAATTTAAACAAGGTTTATGATGACACTTATTTACCAGAGAAAGCTACCCTGGCTCATATGAGAACTCATAAATCACATTATCAGTCAGCCTATTCTAAGCGGGTATATTAACTTTATTTAGCATTAGGCCATATTGTTGGGACAAGACCCAGGTATGGAAGCTTGCAGAGAGGTTTGTGATCTCTATGGAACTGTAGTAACATTTGCAAATGTCATGTTTAAAAAATGCTTCTATCTGATCCAAAATATTTGCTATTTGTGTGCTTCCTGCTATGCACTAAATCAAATGACACTACATTTGTTTTGGAGAGTGCTTTACAATTCTCATTTTATTTATTTTATTTGAAAAAGTCATGTTTAGTAATCAATTGTAGAAGTTAATAATATTGAAGACGAGGCAAGTCCGATGTCTCAATGCAATTAAAAGACTGTATCTTTATAGTGCAAAATTGTTGAGGGCTGGCTGTAGCATTATATTCAAATTGTGTAACACACCACTTATTCTATCAGAGAAACCAATGAGTACTATTTATTTCCATGTTGCCTAAAACGTCATCAGAATTTGGGGTGTGTGAATAGTATATAAAAAGTAAATCACACTTGTATTCATTTTCTGTCATATTGTCAGCACTATTTAAAAAAAAAAAAAAATGCGCAGTGGAATTATTTAATTTTTTTTCTTTAAACCCCTTCAGGACGGAGTCAATAGTACACGTTCTGATCTGAACAAAAACTGGAATATGCGCTATAGGTCTCTTCAACCGTAATTCACCTCTTTAATATTAAAGGACCACTATAGTGCCAGGAAAACAAACTAGTTTTCCTGGCACTATAGTGCCCTGAGGGTGCCCCCACCCCCAGGGTCCCACTCCCGCCAGGCTGAAGGGGGAGGGAAGGAGGTTAAACACTCACCTTTCGCCAGCGCCGGGCTCCCTCGGCACTGGGGACTCTCCTCCTCCTTCGGTCGTCATCGGCTGAATGCGCATGCGTGGTAAGAGCCGCGCGCACAATTCAGCCAGTATTCTCAATGCTTTCCTATGGACGCTGGCATCTTCTCACTGTGAAAATCAGTGAGAAGCGCCTCTAGCGGCTGTCAATGAGACAGCCACTAGGGGCTGGATTAACCCATATGTAAACATAGTTTCTCTGAAACTGCTATGTTTACAGCAGGCAGGGTTAATCCTAGATGGACCTAGCACCCAGACCACTTAATTGAGCTGAAGTGGTCTGGGTGCCTATAGTGGTCCTTTAAGTGCACCCACACTTATTATATATTGTTTTGTTAAGGAGAAACAGGGCTTTAATTTCGCATGAACTATTCATATATGAAACATAATTTATTATGAATAAATACAAAAAAAACCTGAGAAATTAAGATTTTTTTTAAAAATAAATTGCAGTTCCGCCTGACATTTTACTGCAATAAAATGCACATATTTGTATTCAGCAAAGTCTCACGAGTACAAGAGTACTCCCCATTAACAGATTTTATGGTGTTTTGGAAAGTTACAGGGTCAAATATAGCACATTCCATTTTTCTTTTTCTTTTTTTCACATTAAAATTTGCCATATTAGTAATGTTACCTTTTGAGACAGTGTGGTAGACCAGGAATGAGAATTACCCCCAAGATGGCATACCATTTGAAAAAGTACACAACCCAAGGTATTGCAAGTGGGTTATGTCCAGTTTATATATATATATATATATATATATATAATATATATATATTTTTTTTTTATTTTTATATATATATACTTCCCACCAGCTGGGGGACTATCTGACAGCCCAGACAGTCTCCCTGCTGGCAGATCCACAGCCAGCTATAGGGGGCCTGATTTGTCTTCCCGAAGAGGATCGTATCGGAGGTAAGTACCGCGGACCTCCAGGGGTAGAAAACCGTTACGGCTTTCAATGACGCCGCAACTGCTTCAAAGCCCATTATAATGGAGGTGGCATACAATGCCGTAACGGCGTTAAGGGGTTAATGACATTGCAAAATGTAAACCTCCTATAGTAAATAGAGAGCTGTAAGAGAAGTAAATTATTAACGTATTGTGATTATCTTGTATTGTAGCTCCTGGGCAAATGAAATCCAAGGAACGGCGTGCCTGCTCGCCAGTTAATCGTCGGAGATCCAGGAGCCACAGCAGGAGAAGAACACGTAGCCGAAGTACCTCTTGGGATCATGGTAGGAGAAGGTCAGGCAGTTTGAAAGCGTAAGTGTGGTTTCTTTTTTTTTTTTTTTTTTTTTTTTTCTGTGCCTTGTCAGTGGATTGCCCTTTAAAACGATCTCTTTGAGTTGCAGGTACCAGAGTGTTTTGCAGAGTGTACCTTTTGTGAGACATGAGAGGGAACATGTACAACATTTTTGTATGATCTCAATGTTTTCAAAAATGGTTTCTGGCTACTTTCTATGCTGCAAATGAGTGTAAAATACAGTATGTGCAAGAATATAATAGAGCTTTGATAAATCTTCTTTGCTTGGTTCCTTCTGGGCATCATGGGAAACCTAGTTACAAAAGTTAGTGTACTATAGGCTATCAGCATGTGATAAAATAAATATAAATATATACACACACAAATGTTCAGGTGAGTCCAGCCCCTAGTTTTATTTGTGTGTGTTTGTAAAAACAGATACAATTTGTATCTTGTAATACCTTTTTTATTGGACTAACAATTTTTTAATGACGAGCTTTCGGGAGAACCTCCCTTTCTCATGTCTGAAGCATTTCTGAGACGACACATAGAATTCAAAGTTGAGTTGTGATACAGGCTGTAATGCGTCATGAGTGCAGATAAGACACAGGTTTGATAGAAAATAGACAACATTCTTGCAGAGGGCCGTAAATATCTTTCTAAAGATCAGTGCACTCACCTGAACGTACGTGTGTGTGTGTGTGTGTGTGTGTGTATATATATATATATGTGTGTGTGTGTATGTATATATATGTGTGTGTGTGTATGTATATATATATATATGTGTGTATATATATATATATATATATATATATATATATATATGTGTGTATATATAAATAAAACCAGGGGTCACTCACCTGAACATGCATAAATGGGGTGCTGCTGGGCATTGTGTATGTATATGCCTGTGTGTGTGTATATATGTATATTTAATAATCCAGTTTTCAGAATAAACTTAAGGAGTTTTGCAATATTTTTTTCTATGCATTGAAAAAATAACTTCCATAAGAAGGGTCCAGTAGTGTTTGAAAACAAAGAACTCTGTCTTACAGAAGGATATTGCAAAACAGTTGGTAAAGACTAATGGAGTATGCCTTTCTCAAATATCAGAGGCTGGAGAACGACAACTAAATCCACTAAATCATTTACATACATGGCTATTATGACGTAAGCTTTATTTTTGCTCATACCAATGCCTTAAAATGCAAGTTAACCCATAATTCTGTAGTAAACATCTAGCATTATACAATTCATGAATTCATACAGTTTTTCCACAATGGAGAGTGTGGTAAAATATAATTTAGCGCATCATCTGAATAGCTTACCAATCTTCCATTAAGAAATGCATATATCTGAGCTTCATCTTATTTTCCTGATTTTTGTGAGTTGGTTCAATGAATGCACATTATGTTCAAGAAGAGCAATAAGATATATATATATATATAAACAAAATCTTCTACATTTCAAGCTCGAACTGGATTTTTGGCCTTTTTAAGTTGGCTGACAATTATGCAATCGTCCAAGGTCCCTACTTCTTGATTTAAAATTGTAGAACTTGCACAAAAATTAGACTGGGGAAAAGGTAAGCACAAGAGCCAGACATGTATACAACCATTTATTGCTCATAAAGCTGTATGTTTTCTCTTAATTTTCTTGGTTCTACAATATTTGCCTACCTTTGACAATAATATATTAGAGAAATCCTATCGGATAGCTTATATATTAATAAAAAAAAAAAAAAAATGTTTTAATTATAGGTCACGACACCGAAGACATTCCTACAGTCATTCCAAGTCACGATCAAAATCTCCACTGAGACGGTCAAGAACCCCACAGAGACATTCCTTCTCTAGGGGTCGCTCTAGGTCACTTGAGAAGTCACCATCTGGTTCACCACCAAAGCATTCCAGCTCTGGTTCAAAGTCTCGATATGGACGGCGGCGATCTAGTTCTACAAGATCACATTCAAAATCTCCCCGCCACCGACCATCCAACTCTGTGTCTCAAAAGGAGATATTTCGGCATTCTCGTTCACGCTCGAGGTCTAGATCACGGTGTTATAGAGGCAAAAACAGTCGACATTCTGGCTCCGATGAAGACTAATATCAACATTTAAAACGCAAGTTGTAGGGCAACGCATATAATTGAAACAATATTTGCATATGTTTAATTTGTCAGGTTATTCATATATGCAAGATTTCCTAAAACAAAATCTGAATACAGTGAATAGAATGTCAAGTCAAATATTTTGAAGGTTTTAAAGGGGGTAATATTTTACCACAGTTGTGCTAATTTGTGAAATCACCAATCGGTATTCCTTAGGCCTCTAGATTAGGTTGTTTTTTTTTTTGTTTTTTTCAATTCCCTCAGAGGAAAATGTATAATCTTTTTTGATACTGCGTTTAAGCTATTGAACATTAAAGTCAGAAGTGACAATTTTGTTTTGTACAGTCAAAGAGGATATGGTGCTTATATCCTATTAAAAATCAATTTGATGCCCAAATAAAAATGTCTGTAAATATTTTTAAATCAAAATTCTGTCATAAATTGGGCAGGGACCCCCCCCCCCCCTTTTTTTTTTTCTCCTCCAAAGGGAGATTAAATGCATGAAGTAATTGTATTACTTTAGTTTGCTGTGTTTAGCAAATCACTACATAGTTCTGTATGTTTTAGATGCAGCAGTATAAACTCTAAAGTGTGCTTTAGACTTTATATCCTATTATTATAATTGCTATTTATATATCCTAGTATTGGTTTTGGAAAACAGTGTTCAACATAGTTACATATTTTGTCTTAACCATTTTAATAAACTTCAAATAAAACTGAAAGTGTTTTAATTTCAAGACAGAGGAAACTTATGCATAACATTTAATAACAAACTTTTTGTTTTCCCTCCTCTATATTACTATAGTAAACTTGCGCACACACACAAAAAAAAAAATCAAATCTTTCTCATGAGTGTATAAATGGGCAGCACATAAATGCATTTAAAACACTCACTACTTCCCTCTCCTTCAAAGCAATTGTTTTGAAATTTATATTATGTCCATTTAAAAAGGATCTGCTAACAAATTAAAGCAGCTCTGACACCAGACTATAAATTGAGTATACTAAAGAGAAAATCATTATGCAATACATTGACTGTATTGGAATTTCATAGAAAATGATTTCATGTAAAGGCTTACTCTAACTCATGACAAAGCTTGAAGTTGACAACTTTAAGAAGAAAAATAAATAAAAATGCCTTCATGCATCTCTATGCCTTCATATTTGTCAAGTAAATAGCATCAGCTGTGGGATTCAGGCTGCTCATACATTGCGAGACATTCTTTAGGGCGGTAGGACCCTCCATATACTGTACATCATGCATGTCAAACTCAGTCTAGCAAGGACCAAATAAACTAGGTTTATGTGGGCCGAAATTTTTGTATTTTTTTTACATTTTCATAAAAACGTAGGTTTATTTTGAAAAGTACAGTATATATTAAAAAAAAAAAAACACAGCATCACCCTCTACTAAACTACAGCACCCACCTCTATTAAATCCCAGTCCACCCCCATATACTAAATCCCAGCACCCCCCTCTAGCCAACAAGCAGACTCTACTCACATTGCCGCTGCCAGTATAAGACTCCGGAGTCAGACCTCTGGTATACCCCAAATGGCGCCGTCCGCACCCTGTGCCAAAGCGGATCCTCCTGTTACTTCTCGAAAACCTATGAAGGTGGAGCACGTCGACGTCACGGAATGTGACGTGGAGTTGCGTGCCTACGTGAACCTCCAGGTCCTCCACTGTCAAGCTTTTGCCATTGCAACACTGACCGACACACACATTTACACATTCTTGCACACACACCTATTGTATTTATCCCTAGGGTCCAGTGGGGATCTTCTATCTATATGACGTCCTATTCCGGAGCACAGCATCACTACAGACTGCGCACACGAGGGAGCAGTGAGGAACAGGAAGGCTGAGCTCCCTCGCTGCATCCACCTTACTCTCCTCCCTGGCTGAGTAAATGTTAGTAGAGTAGGCACCTGCAATGAGGGGAGAGCAGCTGCCTACTCGGCTTGGAACAGCAAGCATGTACTCGTGGCTCGCCGGGCCACAAAGATGTCCATTGCGGGCCGCGGGTTTGACATGCTTGCTGTACATGTGAAGATAAGAAAGAATGGTGAGAGCACTCAATACAGAATAATACATTTTTACCCACTGATTAGTAAATTTCTGAAAAAGAAACAGAAAAAAAACATAGGGTAATAACGTCAAATAAACCAAATGACGTAATGGGTTAATTGCACTCACATACAGAGAGCCAATTAGGAGCTGGCTCAAGCGGAACACCTTGAACAGAAATCTTCCTAAGGACTGGAACAAAACTTGTAATGGGTGTCTTCCCAGAATTGATGCACAAGTCAGGAACACAGGTAAAAGATTGAACAAAAACTTTAATATGAACGATGCAACTACATAAAATAATAAAATAAGGAAAGTCCCATAAATACAGTAGAGTCCCAAAATGTCCTTAGGATCCACCTTACGCGTTTCGGCACAAAGCCTTCATCAGAGGTGCTGTGTTCTGTTCAGGCGAGAAGTCCCTTTTAAACCTTATTTGGTGCCATTTTCGCCGTCTTCCCGGCACTTCATTTCCGGGTTCTGACGTCAGGACGCGTCCTGCGTCGTCACGTGCTGACGTCACTTCCGGTTTCGGCGAATATGATGTGTGGGAACCGTCATAACAAAAAGTCCATACGAATTCAATATATGAAGATTATGAAGATTAAAAACTTCAAAAAAGTGCTCTCACCATTCTTTCTTATCTTCACTTGTGCTTAATGTAGTGGTTATTGTGGCCCACTAAGGTGATTGTAGCACCAGTGTTTGTTCATTAATTTTTCACTGTGTTGTTTTATTTTGCTGTACATCAATGGCCAGAATTGGTGGGAACCAGCTTCAGGTACATATATAGTATCTATTCTCTTTTGTACCCGTGAGCCACTTCAGGGGACATATTCCCCCTTTAAATGTGACTGAACTGCTTTGATGTTTTGTCATAATCGTTAATGAGTACTGATACATTTTGCAGTCAGGACACAATGAAAAAGGATTGTTTTGTGTTCAAGATGCTTTTTAAAAAAAGACATAAATAAGAACTGGGATGCAGGTCTTGCAAAGGGCCATCCACTATCTACATATCTAATTATGAGAAACATTTATTATGTGCTAGGGCACAAAGTGAGTGAGAAAGAGCACCCTCCTTACAGTCTAACAGCAAGAGATGGTAAAAGGCAAAAGCTTTATAACATTATTAAAGTGTTGATTTCCTTTTGAAATCTGCACTTTTTATACAGTAAGAAAGAAGGGAGTCTGTTGCCCTGCAATGTGCTTTAAAGGAACACTACTATAGTGTTAGGAATACAAACAGTATGTATTTAACAGTATAGTCATGAACTACATTTTTAAGTGACCCTACCAGAACGTAGATAAAAGGTAGTTTTACTTATCTTTTCTCCGTTGCTGAGGTGGCCTCACCTCCATGTCTGAGACTATCAATCTTGAGTCATTGCAGGATCTAACCAGGAAGGCTTTTTAATAGATGAGATGTCAGCCACTAGAGGTGTTACTAGGTTGCAAGGTAAATTAAAGGCAGCTTTTACATTTCTGTGCCTGCAGGGACATGCTATATACACCAGAACCACTACATTAAGCTGCCCCCCTACTTAGCTCAACAAAGAACTACATTTTTTGCCTCATAATTCCACTTTATACATGGATTCCTTGGAGTATGTATCTGCTGTATACAACAGCTTTAAAACACAACTCAGGAAGAGGAGCAAAGGGTTTTCATCCACACTTTTTTCCCCACCACAACTCTCTTGGTATGTACATTACAAGTAATGCCAAGTCTCCATAGCAAGCCAGTAACCAACTTCATGCTGATGAGTTGCATTAACAACGAAATAGCTGTCCATGAGTGGTTCACTGGCTTTGCTCCTCTTCCTGAATTGTGTTTCAAAGCTGTTGTATACAGAAGACACATACTCCAAGGAATCCATGTATAAGGTAAAATTATGAGGCAAAAATGTGGTTAGTTGTTGAACTTATTTGCATACGTCTACCCAGAATCCCTTGCAGTAGTGAGAACACTGTTAAAGTGAGATTTCTGTGGCAAAAAAAGCAAGTCTTATGGCTTGACTGTTGTGTGTATTTGTGTTTAGCAATGTATTAACTATATATATATATATATATAAAAAAAATACTTTTTTTTGCTTTCATCAGGACACATGAAATATATATATACAGTATCTCACAAAGTGAGTACACCCCTCACATGTTTGTAAATATTTTATTATATCTTTTCATGTGACAACACTGAAGAAATGACACTGCTGCAATGTAAAGTAGTAAATGTACAGCCTGTATAACAGTGTAAATTTGCTGTCTCCTCAAAATAACTCAACACACAGCCATTAATGTCTTAACCGTTGGCAACAAAAGTGTGTACACCCCTAAGTGGAAATGTCCAAACTGGGTCAAAAGTGTCAATATTTTCCAGCACTGCCTTATGCCTCATGGGCATGGAGTTCACCAGAGCTTCACAGGTTGCCAAAGGAGTCCTCTTCCACTCCTCCATGACGACATCACGGACCTGGTGGGTGTTAGAGACCTTGTGCTCCCCCACCTTCCGTTTGAGGATGCCCCACAGGTGCTCAGTAGGGTTTAGGTCTGGAGACATGCTTGGCCAGTCCATCACCTTTACCTTCAGCTTCTTTAGCAAGGCAGTGGCCGTCTTGGAGGTATGTTTGGGATCATTATCTTGTTGGAATACCTGCAAACTGCTGTATGGTCTTGCCCACCGTGCTGCAGCTCAGTTTCAGGGTCTTGGCAATCTTCTTATAGCCTAGGCCATCTTTATGTAGAGCAGCATTTTTTTTTCAGATCCTCAGAGAGTTCTTTGCCATGAGGTGCCATGTTAAACTTCCAGTGACCAGTATGAGAGAGTGTGAGAGCGATAACACCATATTTGTTTGTGTGTGAAAAATGCAAAAAACTAATTTGAACGCTGATTTTGGCCAGTGTTTGTGACTACTAAAGTGGCTACTAAAAAAACTGGACATGCATCATTTGCAATACCTTTGCAAGTGGTATGCCATGATGGGGGTAATTCTCATTCCTGGGCTACCATGTGGTCTCAAAGGCAACATAACCAACCTGGCAAATTTCAATGTGAAAAAATGGAAATGCAAGCCTTCTACTTGACTCTGTAACATTTGAAAACACGGTAAAACCTGTACATGGTGGGTATTATTATATTTGGGAGAATTCGCTAAACACAGATATTAGTGTTTCAAAACAGTAAAACATATCACAACAATTATATCGTCAGTAAAACTGCCGTTTGTATGTGAAAAATGCAAAAAACAGCACTTTCACTGACAATATCATCGTTGTGATCTGTTTTACTGTTTTGAAACACTAATATTTGTGTACAGCGAAGTCTCGTAAGTGAAAGAGTTCCCCCTGGTGTACAGGTTTTATGGTGTCTTGGAAAGTTATAGGGTTAAATACAGGGCTTGCGAATCAAGTTGTCAGGCAGGTCCCTCAAATTTTAATGAATAAAATGACTTAATTATGTAAAAATATTATAAATATATATGTAGAATTTAAATATATATGCATATATAAATATATATATATATATATATATTTTTATTATTGTTTATATATAGATACATATATGTATTGATAACGTAATTGTAAATGTATTTTGATTTAAAAATATATGTATATTAATATCAGAACAAAATTACACATGTATATATTTAAATAAAATCTTTTTATTTAGATTTTTTCAATTTATTGACTTTTTATTTTATATATCTATATATATATATATATATATAAATATATAATTAACGTCATTCTAAGTGTATTTTAATTTTAATATATATATATAATTATATATATTAATATTAAAATACACTTAGAATAATAGTTTGTGTGTGTATGTGCATATAAAAGTACTAAAGAGTACTTAGATTATATATGTATATAAATACAGAATCCAGCGCACTCGCTCATTCGCTAAACAGCTATTTCAAGTCTCACAGATTGTAATAGTTTTATTTAACCCCTTAAGGACACGACATGTGTGACATGTCCTGATGCCCTTTTATTCCAGAAGTTTGGTCCTTAAGGGGTTAAAAACACCTCACCTAAGCAAAAAATGATTGGGGTTTAGTTGCAGTATATGATCATGCATTGCATAAGCCTGATGCTTGCTCTTATGAGATTAAACCACTTACTTGGGAAATTCTTCCTTATTGGGACTCTCTGCAGGTCAGGGTTAAATAGGGCCCTTGAAAGAAGCACCTGTGACGGGAAGAGGTGCAAAACCAAGTAACTTGGCCTGGACTCCCAAATATATAAATAAATGAAACCAAAGATGCACTCACCTGAACATGCATATATTATAGGGTCTGTCACAGGTGCCTCTTTCGAGGACCCTATTTAACCTTGAGGCCAGATACAATCGAGCTTTGAATATCAAGTTTCTTTCTGGTCATCTTCCAGTTAGCTAAAATTTAACGTAGGGCTAGACTTCCTTCTCCTTTTGGAGTCTTTTTATTTTCAAGAGGTTCCCAAAATAACCATGCTAGTTCCTTGTCTATACCACCTGTCACGGCAAGGGTGCATAACTCATTATTACACTATGGAATATTGTCCTTTAATGTAATTTGTGTAGTGCATAGATAATATGGTTGCCTGGTAGAGATGGTATTGTCAATGTCAAAAAGGGGTTATTTTGATTGTAAGGAAGGTTTATAGCCTTAATTCCTTTTGATGCTGGGACCCCACAGAGGTCAGATGACAGAAGGGTAATGTAACTTGCATAGTAATGTGAAAACTGCAACGTGTGCTGCATGGGTGGGCCCATAGACTAGCAAGCCACATGTGTTCAGTTCCACCCTGGCCTTTCTGTCTTGCAGGGTTCTCAGAAATAAAATGGAAATCCTGCACTGACTGCCAGCCCCAGGAGCTGGGCCGTACCCACCACATCTGGGCAGCAGTACACAGGCTCTTCCATCTTCCAGCATCAGATCTTCTGCTCAAGATAAGACCCAATGGGACTTGTTCCTAGTCAGCTGGAAAAGAGGGAGTCACTATTCGCCAATTAGAACAGTGGACTTTGGGGGGGCGTGGCCGACTGCCGAGAGGAGAAGTCGCATGTAACGACAGCTCCGTGCTCCACCAGGCCCAAAGCGTCGATTTAGCAACGAAAACCCGGACGAAAACCTGCACAAACGGCGGGCACAAAGTCCGACCACAACATGGCACCCTCTAAACAAACCAAGATCACTGACCCGGTCAGGCAAACGAAGAAGGACAAGACGAGACCGGCGCAAGATGGCGACGGCCACGCGGCTCGCTCAGCGTCGCCAGAAAGTCAAGAGGCTCCAGAATATGATCCGCAGACACTGGATGAGGAGCCGGTCACCAATAAAAGCCTCCACACGATGTTGCAGGCCTTAAAGGGTTCTCTCCGGTCTGATCTCCGCCAATACACCAACGAGCTAAAAAGAGAACTAGCTGAATTAGGAGGCCGCACCAGCCACCTAGAAGCAAAAACAGAAGAAATATGTGAAGCCCATAATGAACTGGTCGACAAGCTGCATACTCTGGAAGAGGAACAAAAACTCCTTAAAAGCAAAATGGCAGATATGGAGGATCGGTCGCGCCGCAATAATTTGCGCTTCAGGGGCATTGACGACGCAATTGCCAACGAGGCACTCCCTCTCCACATCAAAATTCTTTGCAAACTTCTAGCTCCACAAGTGGAAGATTCCGACTGGGAGATGGACCGGGTACATAGGCTACCAAGACCAGCCCGTTTTACAGCAGACACTCCAAAAGACACCATAGTAAGATTCCATCACTACACTGCTAAAGAACATCTACTAAACGCGGCTAGGAAACTCACTGTATTGCCCGACCCGTATCAACGTATCCAAATATTTGCGGATCTTTCTGCTTCAACAATGGCAAGAAGGCGGGAATTTGTGAATGTGACCAAAACCCTGCGTAACCACAGCATACCATACCGTTGGGGGTACCCCACGAAATTGCTAGTTTGGTACCGAGATAGAACCATCGTAATCTTGGAACCAGATGCGGGTATGGAGAAGCTGAAGGAGTGGGGATTACATCACGCGCAAGGCCTGAATCCCAGAACAAACGCCTCACCACTAAAGATCCTACCGGAGTGGAAAAAGATTGGGGCTGACGCCACCTCTCACAAACGGGACTAACATGAACACTTAAAAGGAGACAACCTGCACCCTGGACACTTGAGTATCTTTAACTGTTATGCTATTCCATGTATTTTAATGTCCCCTGGCGCACCTATTCCGATGGGACATAAGTTCAACCCCTAGTTCACCAGTTGGTCACTCATCTAGTTGGGCATCTGCTAAGGGGTATCGGGAAAGGGGCAGCACTTAATTATATCAGGTTCCACTCTAGGGGGCTGGCGCAAGCAGACAGGCCCTATGGAGCAAGGGACACCCTAAAGCAGTTGAGGGCGCTATCAGCAGCTCCCATCCAGACATACGGGAGCAATGGCCCCATCACATAGGTTCAGAACGCCCCCAAGTCACGCACACCTCACGCCAAAGGGCAAATTGAATGTCCCCCTAATCCATACCCTATTCAGGGAAAAAAATAAATAAATAAATAAAAAAAAAATTACATAATAAAAGTATAAATAGCTCATTGTTGAATCTGACAGCATAAAAAGGTCAGCACCAGTAGCCGATGTCTGGACATAACGGGTTGTTCACTCACCCTCCTAGAAGTGTCATAGGGCCCTAAATGGTGGTCATACTCCACGATCCCCATGCCGACGATGTGTGAGGCTCCACCTCACACAAATTCGGCAGTAGACCCTGCTACAGGCAGGAACACGTTGTTTCTTCTTAACATGTTTCCCCATCTCTCCCCCTGTTTAATACCGTCCCCCCCCCCATCAGACATAACTCAAAATGGTATGTTTTTATTATTATGTACGGAGGATTAACTAAATACAATGAGGAATCAAGGCCCACCACTCTAATGTACTTCACTGTTATGGGCAATCTCATGAGCTATGCAGCTTATACCTTCAAATGACCAACTCTGAGTTTAAAATTTTCTCCCTGAATGTCAAGGGTTTGAACAGCCCGCACAAGCGGAGCATAGCAATTAGAGATATGCACAAGTCTAAAGCTGCAGTCATATGCCTACAAGAAACACACCTATGTGTTAACAAACCCCCTAAGTTCCAGACCAAGCGCTACCCCCAAGCCTTCCATGCTTACTCACCAAGCAAATCTAAAGGGGTGTCCATCCTCTTTCATGCAGACTGGGTCTTTCAACCGCAAGCCACATATGTAGATAGTGTGGGCCGCCTCCAGGTGTTGGTGGGCTTGCTTAACGGAGTCGAGGTCACCATAGCATCCCTATACGCCCCCAATGAAGGCCAAATTACCTTCTTACAAAGAGCACTTAAAAAGATAGACTCAATGAAACGTGGACAGGTTATAATATGTGGGGACTTCAATTGTAACCCAGACCCAAACCTGGATATCCAAAGGGTGAATAATAAGAAACCTATCCCTTCCGCATATCAAAATGGTAAAGCCCTGTCAGATATTATGTTCGAGTTAGACTTATACGATTCCTGGCGCAACACTTACCCAACGGGTAGAGACTACACATTTTTCTCGCCACTACACTCAACTTACTCACGAATAGACCTTACACTGGTAGATAAACTGACCCTAACAAACATAATTGATGTAGATATAGGTCTTCGGACGTGGTCTGACCATGCCCCAGTAATAGTTACTCTCAGTAGCCTATACCCATCTCGTGGGAGAGGCAAATGGAGGCTTAACGAAAGTCTCCTAGATGATCCCGCGTCGCTGCAAACAATTCGCGAAACCACTACCAACTACTTCAGGGAAAACATGTCCGAGGAGGTGTCCTTACGCACCCAATGGGCAGCTCACAAAACTGTAGTCAGGGGGGTGCTAATTCAAATCGGGTCGCGTAAAAAACGGAAAACAGACGAAGAAACGAGGCGGATAACACACGAACTCACAGAGGTTGATAAACTTAATAAGAGTAACCCATCCACTAAATTAGCTAAAAAAGTCGCTCGCCTACAGAGAGACTTAAACGCCTTATCTTTACAAACGATTGAACGGAGAATGAGAGCCCTTAAGTCGACATACTACACACAAGGCAATAGAGCGGGTAAATTATTGGCCAATAAGTTAAAAGCCCAACGTCTTCAATCGAAAATCCCCTATATCGAATCCCCGCAGGCGTCTAAATTATACAACCCCACCGATATTGTAAATGCGTTAGCGTCCTTCTACTCCAACTTATACAATCTGAAAAATGACTCCTCAGTGCCTCAGCCGACGCATGCAGTCATAGATGAGTTTCTTCATCAGGTAGAACTGCCACTCCTGTCACAAACACAAAGAGAAACATTAGAGCGACCGTTCTCGGAAGACGAGATCTCAAAAGCTATCGCCACTCTCCCTAAACATAAGGCCCCGGGTCCCGATGGATTCTCAAACTACTATTATATTAAATTGTCAAAGATCCTAACCCCCTTCCTAACCTTATTATTTAATGACATTAAAACGACAGGGCTCATGCCGAAAGAAATGCTGGAAGCGCACATAATTACACTCCCTAAACCGGGCAAACCACCCACCAAATGTGAAAACCTGCGTCCGATCTCCCTTCTCAATGCAGATGTTAAACTATATGCTAAACTACTCGCATCTCGCGTAAAGCCCCTTCTTGCAGATCTAGTATCAACGGAGCAAGCAGGATTCGTTCCGGGTCGCCAAGTAGGGGACAACACACGACACTGCCTGAATCTGATTAACTGGTTGGGGTCAAGCAAACAACAGGGGGTGATCCTGAGTCTAGACGCTGAAAAGGCGTTTGACCGGCTCAACTGGAAATACCTAGAGGCCACCCTCCTGAAAATGGGATTCCCGGCAAACTTCATAGGCAGTATTCTGGCATTGTACGCTGCACCGTCAGCTAGGGTCTTTAACTCAGGCTTCCTCTCACAACCTTTCACAATCAGTAATGGTACAAGACAAGGTTGCCCACTGTCACCCCTGCTCTTTATACTTTGCCTGGAACCACTCATATACCGCATCAAACATCACACAGAGATCTCAGGACTTACTACACCAGCAGGAATCCAAAAATTGACACTGTTTGCGGATGACATTCTGCTTTTTCTCACGCACCCCGACAAATCTATCCCGGCTCTAACCTCCCTACTACATCGCTATGGCGAGGTTTCATATTACAAAAATAACACAACCAAAACCCAAGTGCTACCTTTTGGACTTTCTCCCCCAACGATAGATAGGCTGCGGTCCATGTTCCCTTTTGACTGGAAACTCAAAGCCTTAAAGTACCTGGGGGTCAACTTAACAATACCGCTCGCTAGACTCACGCGTGAAAATCACATACCCCTAACATATAAACTACAATCTATGCTAGACAAATGGCAACCCCTCGAAATCTTCTGGTTAGGTAGAGTTCAAACGATCAAAATGATGGCACTGCCCCACGTTCTGTATTTATTCCGCACCCTCCCCATAGCGCTACCGGACATACTCCTCAAAAAATTCCAATCTATCTTCAACGCCTATATCTGGAAAAAGAAACCCCCCAGAATCGCCCGCAGGCTTACATGGCTGTCCCCAAACAAAGGAGGCATAGGAATCCCTGATATTAAAGGGTATTACAAGGCCTCAGTGCTCGCCCATGGTGTGGAGACCCTGACGAGGGCCAGCACACCGGTGTGGCTGCCCTTGGAGAATGCGTGCCTACACCCGGCCTCGCTAACTCAAAAGCTATGGATGCATACCGCACCAGCAAATACCCCCCCACAAAGCTTATACACTACCAACTTCCTGATAACCAGTTGGCGGAGATGGGCAAGCGAACTTATGGGACAAGCACACCCCATTTTCTTCGCTCCGCTATCCCGTTTACAAGACCTAATCAGTGACATCTCATTGAAAAATTGGCTCACAAAGGGAATCACCACAGTAGAGTCCCTATTCACACCACAGGGCATGAAACAATTCCCTGATTTACAAGCCGAATATGCGTTACCTCCTAGGGAGCTCTTCACTTATTTGCGCATCAAACACGCTCTATCTTCGCTAAAAATACACCACAGCGACCCAGAACATCTTACCACATTCGGGCGACGATGTATAACCACTAAATCCATAGGTAAACCCCTTTCTCTGAGCTATTCAGCAATCAACGATGTAGATAGGACCACTAAACATGACTATATGATAAAATGGGAACGAGACTTAAACAACACATTCCCCCTACCCATGTGGTTACAGGCAATCCAAAACACGCGTGCCTCATCGCACAGCCTATCACATTGGGAGAGCTTCAGTAAATTACTGATGAGATGGTATCTTGTCCCATCCCGACTGGCCCAAATATACCCTACAGTTCCACGACAATGTTGGAGATGTGGAACCGAGGTGGGCACCTTGCTCCACATCTTTTGGGAGTGCACGATGCTAACTCAATTTTGGCAACAGGTTAGCAATTTAATACAAGTAATTACAGGGAACACCATCCCGCTTCGCCCAGAATGCTATCTTTTACACATTCACGCAGGCACACTGGTCTCGCCACACAAGGTGGTTATCTACCATATACTGCTAGCCGCCAAGACTAGTATAGCTAGTAGATGGAAAAACCAAGATCCCCCCAACATTCAAGAGGTGAAACAGAGAGTCCACACGACATACGAACATGAACGTCTCGCATTCCGGATGCGCTCCAAGGTAAACAAACACACAAAACTTTGGGAAAGCTGGTGTCAACACGTTCCAGTAAATAGAGGGCCGAAGAGCAGAGGGAGGGCCATCTCGCTCAGTGACACAAACACTCTAGATGAAAGCATTCGAGACCATCCAATACCCAAGTAGAAGTGCACACAGCGCTCCATGTTGAAGGCCCTCAGTTGATGGGAAGGGAGAGGTGCCCTTCACGATTCGTAAGCCACTCAGGTCAGGCAGGCAAACCCCCCAAGTACTTCCTTGACACTCACGGCAGCCTCCATCGAAATTGATAAACTCTAGACCCAATCAGTACCTTATGTTGGAATGTAATTGATGTTAGTTATATTACCCTCCGCATGCTGTCAACTGTACTAAATCCTCATAATGTAACAGAAGACTATGTCAACACATTGTTATCCCTCCCCCTTTTTCCTTTCTGTACCCCCCTTACTTGTTGTCAGTGCGTTATCGCACAAAAACAATAAAAATTAAGACATTGAAAAAAAAAAAAAAAAACTGCAACGTGTGAGATTCTACACCTCTGGCTTCAGACATATGTTATGTACGTCTTAATTGATGAGTCAATCTCTTTGATATGTTAATGGTCATTAGCCTTGTTCCAGTATCATATGCAAAAGAAAAAAACATTAATATTTTCCCACAGATTAATAATTAATTGGCAAAACACTATAGTCACCAAAACAACTTTAGCTTAATAAAACAATTTTGGTGTATAGATCATGCCCCTACAGTCTTTTAACATCTCTTCTGATTAACACAGTCTCTTTCATCTCCCCGTTCCCCAAGTCCTATGTACATAAAAAACAAAAACTTATCTGCATAGCTCCCCCCATGGAAATAAGTGGACTTCCATGCCTTTATACTTTTTCCCATAGCATTGAAATTAAATGCCATATCTAGTATGGCCTCTAAAGCCTGGGGGCTGGTGAGATGTACATGGCATGTTTAAAAATAGGGAAGAAGGAGAAAAAAAAGTAAAATAAATGAAAAAGCTTTTAAAAAAAAAATCCCCTACCACATCCAAATAAGTTTTCTATTAGATTTGCATGTCTGGTGTGCCTCTTACATGCCTTTAGAAATTATTCAAATAACATACAATATAATACAGTTTGCTTTGTAAGTTTACCCTTAATGACCCCCCCCTTAATCCTTTACCCTCCTTCCTTTATAGTGCACCTGTCAATGATCATAATTTTGTTTACTTGTGTTCTAATGTCAATTCTTCAAACTACTTTTTTTCTTTTTTGCTCATATTACTATTACTTATTTACCTTGCAGATTTATATTATGCTCCCTTTGTGAAGTTTCCTTCTTGTTATAATACCATCTGTAAAAGGGAGAGAAATAAGTACTTTTAAAAAATTAAAAAATTCAAGAAAATAAAAGTAAAGTACAAGTTTTAAATAAAATTTTTTAGTGTCCCTGTTAGTTAATCTTTTAGAATCACTAAAGGTGTTCCTTTTGTTATTCTACATGCTATTTTCCTATTTATATTACGTGTCTCTACTTTATCTCTCAAATTATATATGTTATATTCCTCTAGTAAAAGGGAGAGAGAGAAAAAAGACCATACTCAAAAAATTCCTTCTTTCTATACAAAAATTGTATCATATTGTTTTTTGCTGTTTTATACTTTTCTGCAGCCATTTAAATTCATAATTCAAATTAAGCTGTGTTGGAAAGCCCCATTTATATTTTATGTAATTGTATCTCAAAATTGCTGTTTGAGTGGAAAATGCACGTCTTGTTGTTCTGGTATAATAGGAGAAATCTGGAAACACTTTAATTTTATAATATGGAGCTGGCATTGGGTTTTCTCTTCCGATCTTCATTATGTTTTCTTTAATTCGATACGAGGAGCAGAAAATTAGGACATCTCTTGGTATATTATCTGGAAGGTTCTTCGTTTATAATTACTCTTTTGCCAAGATTTGTTAGCTCAGTTTTAACTTCTTTAATATTCATTTCTATTTCATATTTAATTTTTTTACATTTGCTTTCCAACGCTTCCAGTAGTTGTTCTTGGGATACTGGATGTTCTGACAATGTTATTTTTCATCTCTCTTGTTCCTCCTCTCCTGAATGTTTAACATTTATCTGATCTTCCATCATGGATTTTTCTGTGTCTGCTTTGGATGACTGTGGCGAGAAAAAAGATAAAGTTTCTCCGTTTTTGTATCTTTATCCTTTTTGTCTTTTTTTCTGTATTTGTTTATTTTCTAGCTCTTTCTTTGTAGCCATTTTTTTTTTTTTTACAGCAACCAATTTTTCTTTTTTCTTTAAAGGGACACTGTAGGCACCCAGGCCACTTCAGTTCCATGAAGTGGTCTTGGTGCCAACTCCCATCACCCTTAACCCTAGAGTTGTAATAATGGCAGTTTTTATAAAATTCAATAATTACCTGCTAGGGTTAACTCCTCCTCTACTGGCTATCTACCAGACAGCCACTAGAGTGACTTCCGGGTTCTTAGACGACTTTTGGTCCTCTAAGTGGCGCTGGACGTCATCACGCTATGCATGAGGACTTCCAGCATCACCGGAACTCCCATAGGAAAGCATTAAATAATGCTTTCCTATGG